ATAGTTTAGAGGCATGTGATGATTAATTTTAAATGATTAGAGAAATGATCCCAATTATGCAAGTGCACTTTGCTAAGCAACCAGGATACTGTTGCCTAATTCATTAAAATTTAACAAATAATCTCATTGGCTGAGAAAGACTCAGATAACCATTAGTGATATAATGTAGTCAATAATAATATTCTGAACCTTAAATATTAATATGTTTCCTTAAAATCAGTTTCACTTAGTAACATACATATTTGTGTGTCTGAAAAAATGTGCTCATGTAGAGTTAAAAGTAATCGTATAGCTATATATTTAACTGACAACAAATGATTTTATGGCCTCAGTTAACCCCATAGAAGATCATTTCACTTGGCATTTGCCTCAAACTATAAGAATTAGAACAGAAAGGCAAGGTTAAGAAATGTACATTTTTTACAGTTAATATTAAAAATGCTTAGGCTTTTCACTACGAAATACCTATACTGAATATAGGAATGAATTGAATCATTCTGGAAAGGATGAAATTTTTCATGAGTGATTTATTATTCAGGATGCCCCTATCATTGAATGACATTTACAAATGACAAATAGAATACTAATTCCTGACTTTGTGACCTTGGTAGTGTAGAATATCCTTACCTCTTTTCCATGAACATGAATCATACCTGTTATTAAAAGGTCATCTCAAGTTACACCCTTTTCTGATAACTATATTCAGTATTGATATGTTCTCTCCATAATCACTCCAAGCATATACAGAAACACCAGGTATATAAAGTATTATTTACTCATCACTTATTGAACATCTATTAAGGGGGGTTAGCATTATTTTGGTACTAGGGGTATTGTGTAAACAATAGAGAAAGGGCTTCTGATTGTAGGAAAGTTACCTTCCTCTTGTGGCACCTGATAACAAGCAACTAAATAAACAAATGAATGTGATAACTCAGCTAAATAATAGAGTGACTACTAAGAGGGGTTTCATTTAGATTTGGTAATCAGGGAAGGATATAAGGAGATGATATTTGAGCTGAGAACTCAATGCCAGAAAAAGGTTAACCAAAACTGGAGGCAAGATGCCCATGTAAAGTGAATGTCAAGCGTTAAAACCCTGTAGGAGGGATGTGCTTGCCATGTATGAGGAGGAGAGAGATAGATATGATTGAGACACAGTAGCTGAGTGAGTTGGATAGTTAGATAAAAATCCAATCAGGTGAGGACTTGGAAACTATGGCAAGTATAGATTTTATTTGAAGAGCAATGAAAATCCACTAGCAAAGACCTGGAACCAACCCAAATGCCCATCGATGATAGACTGGATTGGGAAAATGTGGCACATATACACCATGGAATATTATGCAGCAATCAAAAATGATGAGTTCGTGTTGTTTGTAGGGACACGGATGAATCTGGAGAACATCATTCTCAGCAAACTGACACAAGAACAGAAAATGAAATACCGCATATTCTCACTCATAGGTGGGTGATGAAAAATGAGAACACATGGACACAGGGAAGGGAGTACCAAACACTGGGGTCTATTGGGGGGAAAAGGGGAGGAACAGCAGGGGGTGGGGGAGCTGGGGAGGGATAGCCTGGGGAGAAATGCCAAACGGGTGAAGGGGAAGAAGGCAGCAAAACACATTGCCATGTGTGTACCTATGCACATGTCTTGCATGTTCCGCACATGTACCCCAAAACCTAAAATGCAATTAAAAAAAAAAAGAAAATCCACTAGGGGATGTTCAACCAATGTTACACGAATTGTAAGGAAATCACAAATGGAAACAGAGAAACCAGTTAAGAGGGGAAATGCTATCATCCATCATCTAGGCTGCTGATCTTAGTAAGAAAGGATAGTGACTATGACAAGAAGAATGCAGAGGAGATGCAGAAAAGTGAACACATTCAGAAGCTGTTTCAGAGGTAGAAATGGCTAAAATAGCTGACAGATCAATGGATAAGTGTATAGGAGGAATCAAAGACAGCCAAGCAAGTGACTGAAGAACAAAGGAAAGCTAAAAATTCAAACTTTTAGTCATCAAAATATTTACTAATTCCTGCATCAGACATTGGTCTCAGTAATAGTATATAACAATGATCAAAGTAGACAGAACATCTGACGACATGGAATTCACATGTCAGAGTGTTTGCCAGGTGTATTACCTTATTGAATTCTCACAGCAATTTAGTTGAATAATAAAAATAATCTTCATTTGACAGATGAAGGACTAGAACCAAAGAGGATAAAAATTTGCCCAAGGTCTCGGAATAGGGAGTGAAGACAGAATTCAAAGCAAGGAATTCCAAGACCATTATACTATACTGCCTACCACACCTTGTAAAATAACCAATAAACTGAACGTACACATGTATATAAGATTGCATAGCATTAGAAGGCTACCACATGAGGTCTGGAAGGAAGAAACTGTGAACGAATTAAAGTAAATACTACTTTATTCAGTATATAGTATAGTAACTTTGGAACTCCACTCTTAAGAAAAACTAAAGGATTCCTCAGGGAAATGGCATAGGGATGTTAGCACCTGTGCATCAATAATAGCAATTAAAGACAGCATGTTAAAAGTAACACAGAGAAAGTTAAAGGGAAGTTTCATAAAAAGCTCTGTATATGAAAATGTCATTCCCTGCAGATGGGATCAGAGAGGCATCTAGGAGGAAGTGGGATTTGAGCTGGACACTGATGGGCCAATTTTTGCCATTCTTCCACTTTATCATTTAATCCAGATGACAATAGTCACTCTCTGTAACTACGCTGTTCAATATGATAGTCACTTGCCACCTGTGTCTATTGAGTATTTAAAATGTGTTTAGTCTCAATTGAGATGTGTTCTAAGTATAAAACAGACACTAGATTTTGGAGAATTAGTATGAAAAACTAATATGAAAATATCTCATTAGTGCTTTTTATACTGCTTATATGTTAATATTTTGAATATATTGAGGTAAATAAAATATACTACTATAATTAATTTCACTTTCTTACTTTTTAAAATATTTCTACTAAAAATTTTAAATTGTACCTATGACTCACTTCTGTGGTTCACTTAATACTGTATTTCTATTGGACAGTGCTGCTTATAATAAAACATTCAGGGTTCATAAAAAAACAGCTGAAAGGTATAAAGAAAGGAAAGGCAAAATTACATAAATATTCTATGTCAACTACCTGATATTTTCTAAAATCACAATGAGTTCTTTTAGCTCTTAAATATGCAAGCCAATGTTTATCTTCATGCTAGGAATAGACTATACTTTCAGTCCCGTTACAGTTCTGAGATTCTTTTGAGATGGAGTTTCGCTCTAGATTCCCAGGTCCAGGCTGGAGTGCAGTGGCATGATCCAGGTTTACTGCAACCTCCACCTCCTGAGTTCAAGTGATTCTCCTGCCTCAGCCTCCTGAGTAGCTGGGATTATAGGTGCCCACCACCACACCAAGTTAATTTATTTTTTCTGTAGTTTTAGTAGAGACGGGGTTTAGCCAGGTTAGCCAGGCTAGTCTCAAACTCCTGACCTCAGGTGATCTGCCTGCCTTGGCCTCCCAAAGTGTAGGTTTTACAGGCATGAGCCACTGCCCCCAGCCAGTTCTGAGCTTCTTTTAAAGGATATAGATCTCTTTGCACTTCCATCACTCATGAAAAGAAAGCCAGCAATCTAATACTTTCAGAGAATTACTCATTAGAACAAATATTTGGTGTTCAAATGAATTTCACAGTTTGTCCATACTAATAAATGTGCCTTATCTTTTGAACTCTCAGAATGCTGGGAAAAACAAATAGGATCTCTGTTTTGTAAAGAAACTCATATTATCAAATTTATTACCAGAATATTGCATGCAAGTATATCACTAAGAGCTAAATTCTTCTGAAAAAAAAATTGATTGAAGTTGATATATGTGAATTTAGTAAAAATTTAAGATATGTGTGTCCTTGTGTTCTCTATAATATGGACTTTAATGGTCTTACATGCTAAACAGACCCCATTATTTTACACTGTTAGAGAATTTTTCCAGAGTTTGGTGTTCTGAGGACCCTGCAGAGCCAAATGGAATTTATGCCAAAGTAGCAGAATTGATAATACTCGGTGACTGAAGACTGTATTTGTTTAAGATTGTTCCCTCTTGAAATTTACATTGATGAATCATTTAGATCTTTAACACAGAGTACTCCCTTTCTTTTGGTTTTAGGGAAAGAGAGTTATCTGCTCTTCCCAAGAATAAAGATACTTAGAAGCTTGATCTAACCTCTTCTAGTTCTCTAGAATATAAGCCCCATGAGGACAAGAAATTGTTGAAGGAATGAATTTTTTTAATTTGAATGTTGAATTTGTTGAATTAATTTGTTTCATTCTCAAAATCATTCAACTAAGTGTAAAGGCATACATATTAATTTTTAAAAAAGGCTTCCTGCTAATACTTTCTTCAAATGTTAAATGCTAAACATGATAATAAAGTGGCCAGCTTCATTTGTTTTGTTTCACTGGATCTGGATTAGCTTTCTATTCCAACCTGGGATAATCACATTCCATTCTCTTCTTTGGGAACTTAAGGAGAAATTATCTTTCTTGGTGCCCATTTGTGCTTGGGAGTTGCATATGGGATTCTTCTACTCAACACATGGATTGCTTAGCAGAAAAAGTTGGTCTTCAGAAAAAAATAAATAAATAAAGCCAATAAGCAGAAAGAAGTAAACAGACAAAAAGAAAATAATCCCTGGGTTATCAATAATCTTAAAATACCTGATTCCAATTCTTTCTAACATCCAGTTATGTTCTTGCTCTTGGCCTTCATAAGGAACTCTTGTATAAATATTTTTTTCTTTATTGCTTAAACCATTTTAGGTTGTTTTCTGCTATTTGCAACTAAAGTTACCATCTCTTATCAATAGAAACTTTGATTACCCCCACAGACTACCAAGCAATAATATTATACTAGAAGCATTTCCATTTGCAAACCATAAGATGCAGAGTGGGCATAGTTCATCCTCATGCCAACTGCCAGCTTACATTATTTAAAAAAAAAGCAATGAAAATGTATATATATACCTGATGAATAACAGGCACAGTTGGAAAGTGGCTCTTCTACATCTTACCCTCCTGCTCTCTAGACTGAAAGTCTCCATCCAATTAAATCTCTAGGATTGGACTAAAAGAGTATGTGGCACATCATTCGGCTGTGACTTCTGGAGTCTTTGTGCCAGCCAGTGCTGTCACAGCAGCATTATTCTCCAGTACCACCACTCTTTTATTCACTTGCTTGGTACTACATATGTACTTGTTTATGTCCACCAAAAACCCAGACTCGTTGAAAATCAGGTATCAGTTTTATACATATTTAAAAACTTTTGATAACAACTCTGTACTTTTAAAGAAGTACATACAAGAATAACTTGGGGGAGAAATCCTACATTAACAAAGTGGCACAATAATTTCTGAAATCATTAATGTAAAATGAAAGACAAAAAGAAGGAGTGAAATGAAGACCTGAATAAACATCAAGATGATAGGAGAGCAGCAATGTTCTTTACCTGAAACTTTTCAAAGCCTCCTTGTGGTAATTTCCAAGACAAATACGTTGTGTTTTCTTCTTGCCCCAAAATAAACAAATCTGATGGGTCTGGATCTAAAGTAATGAAATAAGACACTGGGTCTCTTTTAAAAGACATTTCTACCATTATGTTATCTAGGCTGAACCAGTAACCTTGACTTTGAAGAGTACTACATATGAGACATAAAACCTAGGCATCTCCAGTCAATTTTAGCACTATGTGACCATGTGCAAGCTATGTATCCCAAGTCTAGGCTTTCTATCTCTACAAGGAAAGAGAAAACAGACTTTTCTGGAAAGCTTCTTCCAATAATAAAATTATGGATTTTCACATTTATTTTTCTTATAGCAGAATCCAATTTTAAGTTCTTACAACTGGTATTGTTTACTTATTATTTATATACTGCATAAAGAAAAAAATATTTCCCCCTCCTTAAGTTCATATTCTTTTTCCCTGTAACCACTTTACCTGAGATGGTTCTAGAAACTTATTTTCCTAATTGGTAACATGTCTCTATTTCAAACCTATATTTCAAATTAAACTATTGTATTGCTTTCCTCAACTAGAAGAAATATAATATTAACATCTTATTAAAATAATTTCTCCTTTAAAATTCAAATTTTGAATGGGACGTTTCTGTCCCTACTTGTATATTAAGTTTGTTAGAATTCATCCCAGTGGCAGATTTAAACCTGAGTCACCGACTCACACTCCTTTATATTCAATTTTTCTATAATGCACATTCCCTTCCAGCTGGAATTTATTATTCCATAATATATTTAACTCTATTTTGTACATTTATTGATATTTCATTTACTTCCAAATTGACTTGAGGGGGCTTGCAAATAAATGAAGGTAACTAAAAAGACAAAAATATTAATAATATACAATAGAAGACAAAAGACAGATTGCAATATAGGAAACATTAAAAAAAAGTTACCAGCCTTGTTTAAAAACAACATGGTTAAAAAGGCAACGACATTACAAACTATGGAAAGTATTATTATTAGCCCCAGGTTACAAATAAGGAACTTGCAGTGCAAACAGAAGATGATTTTCACAAAGTCACAGAGCTAGAATGGGTAGAGTTAGTCATTTCTGTAACGTAGTAGCCTTTCCACTGAAGCACAATGGTTTCAAGGTCAGAATTTGATGTCAGAGAAATATGAGTTCAAATTTCTGCCATCTTGTATAAGTGACTGAAATTCTCTAAGCCTTGTTTCATTTGAAAAACATGTAAAGAGTATACATCTCATTATGATTGGTAAAATAAAGGTTGTCATTCAGAATTAAGTGATATAAAACATAGAAAATGCTTAGCAGAGTACCTGATAAAAAGGCTCTCAATGTGATGCAATCAACGTGATGATGACAATGGTGTTGATGTTGGTGACAGTGAGAATGACAACACCCAAATCTAAGTAGAAACTAAGCTTTCACTGATACTTAATTATGAGCTATCCTTTTTTAAAAAATTGAAATTTTTTCTCATCTATTTCTGATGTTTCTTTGAATGGTCTTTATGAGAGGGAGTAGGGTCATATCAGCTTCAGATACCTGGGTTAAAAATCTCACCTTCAATAATGAGTTATGGACACCTCTGAGTCTTAACCTAATTTGGGGTAGCATGCAGAGATTTGATACAGTGATTGAAGTACATAATATCACACTTGTGTATAATCATCCCTCAAATTTTTTAGTTTATTTTCAAAGAATTGATTTAACCAATGCTGCATTTTTAAGTGCCTCCCTTCCTTCACAAGGCAACTTCTGAGATGAAGCCTCCTCTCATAACTGAGAGGACCTTGGTATTGAGCACACTTTCATGGGACTTGTCCCACAATAAAAGGACTCTCCGAAATAGCTAGATATGTTCAGAGCAAGCATATATGTCAAGTTATACTAATAAGGTCAAAAAAGGCAAACAGAACCCAAATAATTCAATCAAAAGACTGTATTTTTCATTTAAAAATTCAAAAATGTCTATTTTTTCATACCCCAAGTTTATTTTCATAAAATGGTAATAGAGTCCACATACTAGAAAAATATTATTTCATGACAATTAAACCTTAGGGCTTTAGAGTACTTTACACTTTCATGAAGAGTTTCACATTTCATTTTAGCAACAGGTTATTTCACCTAGGTAGTAATAAGTATTCTCATTTCCTAAGTGAGAACATAGTTGTTCTGCCTAATGTAACATAATTAATAAGTGATTGAGACAGGAATGTATCTCAGATATTCTCCCTGTAAATGCAGTGCTCCTTCTCTTCCAGCATATCATAAACTGCTTTCTAGTCATAAATTTCTAATTAGGCATTGGCCTTAAATACAACTGTTCTTTTCCTCTTTTTGTTCATTAAATATAAAATGAACTTATAATTGTTGACCATGAGGACAGTAGGATGGCTTCTTTTCAGTCCCTTGTTAGAAATAATACTAATTAAAATGTTGGTCCCTGGAGAAAGGTTATTAAATATGAATGTCCTACAGGTTAAAGAAAAGTGACACATTACAACATTTAGCTCAGACATATGTGGAGAACTCCATTTTCTCACCTGCAGAAAAATTTTTATGTTTCATTTTAAAAATATCTATCATGGAAATAATTTGCTATGCTTAAGCACAACTGGTTAATTAAAAATCATATATTTCTTCACAGAGAAATTTTAAGTCAAAAAAGTATATATCATACGTATACATATAATATTCTGAATTCATTATTATCTGTTTTCAGAAATAATTTGTTACGATATGTCAGACTTAGTTATTCTGATCACACTGGAGTCCAAAAATTGTCTTGTAAAATTTTCTAATTTCTGTTTATGTTGACCCATTAAGACAGTCTTCTAAAACATACATAAAATGCTAATTTTGAGTTTCATGTAACTTGACACAATTTCTTTTCAATATTTTTATACCTTTTAGTGGAAGGCAGAATTTCTTCTTTCGTTAAGTTTTCACTGGATATTGAAATAATGTATCCAACCAGAAGACGTCTAGCTGAAGGCCAGCTAGCAGTTACTGCATTTGGATCTCTGCTGTGCTTCATAAATTCAGCTGCACTCAGGGCTATATCATTTAAAACAGACAGTAAGATAACATTTTCTATAGCACAGAGCACCTGCCAGCACTGAACCACTCTCAGGAATTTACTCTGTGTAAACCCTGAGGATAACTGAGGCACTCCTTTTTTCAAAATATTTTATTTTATTTTAAGTTCCGGGATACATGTGCAGGACATGCAGGTTTGTTACATAGGTAAACATGTGCCATGGTGGTTTGCTGCACCTCTCAATCCATCACCTAGGTATTCAGTCCCACAAATATTAGTTATATATCCTGATACTTTCTCTCCCCCGTCCCCTTGGCAGGCCCAGTATGTGTTGTTCACCTCTCTGTGTCCATGCATTCTCATTGGTCAGCTCCCACTTATAAGTAAGAACATGCAGTGTTTAGTTTTCTGTTCCTGTATTAGATTGCTGAGGATAATGATCTCCTTTTATTCTACCTGATAGATATGAGAAATTAAAGTACTGTTTAAAAACAGCCAGAATTATTTTAAACTTTGAAATAAAATACTTGTGTGCTTTAAGTGTACGAAATGTGTCCCAGTAGTATGTACTCAAAATGTCCCTGGCCTCTAAAATGCAGGAAATAGATCATATTTTAGCCTTGTATAACCACTGATTTCAGAAATATTTAGTTATTTTTAGGACCCATCCTAATTAAATACCAAAGAGTGCTGAGGTTAATTAGTAGGAAAGTTAATTCCAATCTAACCAGAAAATGCTTCCCTTCTTTCCTGAGGAAAAAAGTTAAATAGTATATAATGGGCATTTTGTTTCCTCTTTAAAATTCTTCCATATATGAGAAAGGAATAAAATTGTGAAGATATTCTCTCTCAATCTCATTCTTTGCTATTTCAGTAAAAGAATATCAGACATGGCCAGGTTCTAAATATATAAACCAATGTACCCATTGCATCAGTGTGAAGAATACTAAAATAGTTTAGTAGAATAGCTGACAATTTCACTTTACTAGATATGACAGCTTATACATTTGCATGCTTACTTTCCAGTCATCCTTTATTTCATATGACTACCATGAGAATAAACTGTTTGTCCTGGCAAGGTGGCACTTCATTATCAGCCTAACGGAAAAATGGGGACATTAAATTATAAATGGAAACTCTGGCCAAATCATAAGCAGTTAGCAATGCTACCACCTGACAATACATATTAAAAGGATGTTGTGATAACCCACACTAGGGAAAAAATAAAAGATACAAGAAACACTACCCATAAAGAAAACCTGAAAAGAATGAACTGCTTACTAAATCTTCCCTTAAAGGACCAAAGACATGTTTGAACATAAAAGACACGCCTCCTGTGCTACATAGCCTGTACCTGTCTGTATTTCTTTTCTGTTAGGAGTTCTGTCCTTAAAACCTTCTTTTTCAGTCCGAATTGAAAAGGTGTACACTGTGGCAGAATCCAGGTTAGAGAATGTTGCTGTTTCTGGAACTACCTTCTGAACCTATCAATCCAAAAGAATACATTATCATGTACATATTTAAGAAAAGCTCTACAATGGAACACAATTGGGAATTATTTAGTTTCACTACTATCCAGTGTAAAAATGCAGTGATGTTGGTTTCAGCATGAAAAATTCAAGTTTAATTCCTCCAAGAATGATTTATAATGTACCATGAAAGTAACAGCACAGTTTATGTATGTGATCTCATAATGCTGAAAATTCCCATCAGCTTGATTCCAGAGAATTTCTATAGAAAACTCTATAACTTTGCCTTCATGGATATTCAGTGGTGCTTCCAGACCTACCCAAACATAAAACACACTTAAATTCCTCTTGAAATTGTCCTAATTGAGTTTTTAACTTATCCCTTAAAAGGGAATAAAAAGCACAATGTCAAAAAGAACAATTGTTTATTAATTAACTTATGCTTCTATTCTAATTAAATATAGTTATTTACACATACAATGACAGTTTGTAAAATATGGTAATCAGTTCCAATACTGAAAGCCATTGTAAACACATCACATACAGCTAATTTTGATTCTGCAGCAAAAAAATTACATAGGAACAAATCACTGAAGAAAACACACAATATGCAAAGCAACAAAAAGAGATTAAAACTTCCCAAACTATTAGCATAAGCTGAAAACACAACAGAGAAAGAAATAGGAATTTAGACAAGGAAGTGAAAGAATTCCCTTTGTATCAAATATTTGTTGAAGCTAACAATAAATTGTATCTGATGAATGTCAATGTTTATTTTTCCCATTTTAAAGATTTAATCTAGCATAAGAAAAACATTATTTCAGAAAGTGGGGAAAATGGCAGCTTTAAACTATCATCTTATATATTGATTTAGTTTGCTGATTGATATCACAATATTGATGTATTTAGATAATGTAGTAATTTTGTTTAAAGACAAGAACTGTTAAATATAAAGACTGCAGCCCATAATGACTTAAAAAGTAAGGAGGAGAGGAAGAGAATACAGACATTAAAGGTACATAGAAATTGAAAGCAAAAATAAAATATAAACAGGTATTGAAATGATTATAAATATGCTAAAATGCTAGCAAAATAATGTGATTTCTGACATCAGTTTGGGAATATTTTATAGACAAGTTGAATTTAAACAGAAATGGAAAGGTTACAACTTGTGGGGAAAAGATACATGGTAGCCTAATGATGTAGGTGGATATACAGAGAGACAGAAAATCAAATGAGAAAACTGGACATGTCAGAATTATGTTTTTAGGACTCCATGTGATTTTTGTTTGTATGGCATTTATTACTTTTCATTATTTATTTCTCCATACACCAGACGGACATTTTAGAGAAATTGTTTGTGTTCCAAATGTTCAATGTTAATATATGCAGAATTTTTAAGTGACTGAAAGAAAAAATAAATCAATATGACTCTAAAAATGCAACTATTTATATAAACAAATACACAGCACATATAGAAACAAGAAGTAATTTTAAATATTCAAAAAGCTTAGAAAAACATGCAGTTTTTTTTTTCCAGACAAATTTCAGTATGGGAATAGCAAGCACAATCTTAGTCATGTGCTCTAAGATATTATCAGCTCTCCTAGACTCAATAAATATAATCTTGTTCTCACAATTGGCTTAAAATTAGTCACATTCCTCACTCTTCAACTAAGTCATTTAAAGTTTTAGTTAAAATGCAAGCATTTCTTTCTGTAAAAGGACAGAAAAAAAAAATTCTTCAGAGTTTCAGCTTCACATAGCGTTAGCTCTACCTGTACACAGGCAGTGAAAGATCTGGCTCGATAGTGAGGCATTTAAAATTTTCCTAAAAGATCTTTGAAATGATTGCATTAACTAAGTGTAGACTATTCATTTGAAATAGTACACAAAATTGGAATCAAGAAAAAGCTTTGCAAGTCTTAAAATACTTACATGTTTTTACTGCAGGGACATAAGGCATATCACTTAATTCAGGCCCATTGATAATGGAAAGAAATTATATTCTGTGCCTGGGGTTAAATTGTCAACAGTTACATTATTATCATGGTGTAAAGGCATGGTGACATTTGGCCCTCCTTCAATTACAATATGTATGCCATCAAACACTACAACACTGGACATTTGAGCAAATAAGATTACAAAGGTACTATGACTTTCATAGGGGATAACAATCCAGACTGGTTTTGGCTCTGAAATATAAAAACGAGATTTAAAATTAGTACTTTTAAACTGTCAGTCATATTTCTCTGCATTTTATCTAACACGTTCCAGAATTTGTAAGAATATTAAATGTTTATACATTAAACTTACGTTTACTATACTGGCATTAGAGAGAGAAATAAGGTAGATATTCTGACAGACAATACATACATATATACTAGAAGCACATAATTAACTTTCATTTATTGATTCTCAATAAAAATCTCAAGAAACACCAATCTGAGATTTTTTTTCATTATTTTTTACCTTTTAATCTATTCATTAATTAAATGTTTTTGAGAACTTATATACAAGGATTAGTGCTCAAATAAAGTAAATAAGGCCAGGTTCTTGCTTTCAAAGAGTTCTCAATCTCAGGAGAGAGATTCATAGATTATTAACTAGAATCTCAAATAGAGCTGAGCTAGAAACATGAATAAAAAGTTGCTTAGAACAGAGAAGGAAATCACCAATTTTAGCAGAGACCTTTGGGAAGGCTTTCCAGAGTTTAAGATATTTTATCTGACTCTTGAAAGTACAAGATTGCCAGAAACAGCATGTGTGAAGAGGAAAAGGAAGTAATGAACGAATTCCAGGAATAAAGAAAACCGTGGGCAAGGCATAGAAACCAAAACGGACATTACCGTGTGTTCAAGGAATACCAAGTTCTTTTAACTCTTTAATAGCAAGGCTTTCTTTGGCAAGTTACTTAGCCACTCTGTGCCTTGGTCTTCTTCTCTACAATGGGAAGGAGACTAGCATCTACGTTGCAGAATCACTGCGCTGATGACATAAGAAATTGCATTCATAGGCCAGGCGCAGTGGCTCACATCTGTAATCCCAGAACTTTGGGAGGCCGAAAACAGGCAGATCACAAGGTCAGGAGATCGAGACCATCCTAGCCAACATGGTGAAACCCGTCTCTACTAAAAATACAAAAATTAGCTGGCTGTGGTAGCAACTCCTGTAATCCCAGCTACTAGGGAGGCTGGGACAGGAGAATCTTTTGAACCCAGGAAGGCGGAGATTGCAGTGAGCTGAGATTGCACCACTGCACTCCAGCCTGGAGATTAATAAGACTGTCTCAAAAAAATAAAAATAAAAATAAAAATTTTAAAAATCTCATTCATATATAAAGTACTTAGCATAGTGTCAAGCATGCAGCAGGCACTCTGGGTGGTTAAAAGATGGGCTGCGTGGGAGGAATGAGACTGGACATGCAAGGGCTGAATGCTGTCTATAAGGGGCTTGGCATGCCATGCTATGGAGGTCAGACTGTATCCTGGAGACAACAGGGATTTTCATCAGGCATGTAATTTCATTTTTAGAAACACATTTTTGGCAACAGTTTGGAGGAAGGATTTATTTACATTTTACACTCTCATTGACCTCTGCTAAAGATTTTGATTGTACCTCAGTTCTCCACTGTGATATTTAAAGCAGATTTAAAATTTGAGATAATTTCTAGTCATATCATTTCTGCCTCAGGTCAATTTTAATTTCAATTCTATTTGTGGATTATTGGGATAGCATCCAGTATTTCCTTAAGCCTGCATTTCTCCCAATCAGATATCTTCTGCTAAAATATACATTCTGAAAAAGATTTTTTTTCCCTACATAATTAGATGGCCTTTCCTTTTCAGTTTTATTTGTGACATCTGGTTTGATGCAATGGAAGTTGTTCCAAGTTACTGTAAAAATACTTGATAATGTCATTCTGCTACTTTTCCCAGAGCCAGAACTTTATGAAATAATGTCCACACACACCTATAATGAGAATTCTAGAACATTAAATCATTACAATAGCTCCACAAATTTTTCTGAGCTGTAACTTGCAACATTTTGCCTTTTCCATTCTTGCTGGTGATGAGGAAATGTTCAATAAATGAACCATAACCAATTCCATATGGTGTAATACTGGGTTTTAATGCACTTTTATCATAGATTTCCTTCTCCAGTTATATTATTTTAACTTTTATTTTTCCATCATCACCAATATTTTCTGTGGGTTTTCTCTTTAAATTCTGCACAGCAAATTGCTTCAGGTTCTGAGGCTACCATTAAATAAAGCACATAAAAATCTACTTCAGTTACAAAAGTCAAGTTACTCTTGACTTTTCCAAAACAAGAGTAACATCCCACACACAACTATCTGAATTTGTCTGCAACGATCTATGAAAGCTTCCACGTGTGGCTTGAGCAGGAATTAAAAGGTCTTGGGATGAAGAATGAATGATGAGTATAATCACAGAACCAATTCACTTCCATGCTCTTGGACACTGAAGACATTTTCTAAAATGAGAAGAGACTTTAAATAGGCATGGTCTAATGTAGGTTCTAAAAGTCTATAAAATTAATGTCACCCCATCTAGTAGGTAAGCATGGGGTTTTCCATCAGTTCCACCTGTCCAGGAAATAAGCCAAACTGGGTAATACATGAGACTATAGAGAGTCACCAAGGCTGGAAAGGTGTAGAAGAGGACAGAGTTTTGTCTTGTCTTAAAAAAATATGTCCTGATCTAGAAAAAAATCACATGAGAAAAGATTTCAGAAAACAAAAGACTAAAAGAAACATATTGCCACATACTGGGGACTTTCTGCAGGTTTCTACCTCTGGACTGTGACTTCTATCCTTATTCCGTGTCCTGCAAAAGCTTTATCAAAAGAAGTGGTAAGATCAGGGGTTATATAAGGGTTTTGTTCAATATGAAATGAACCAAACTAGGCCAAATTCAAAGACTTTTATTATAGGCTAAGTAGAAGGAGGTCTGAGGGATGCTCCTATCATACAATTTATTCTCCTATAGCAAGAGAGGAAAAAGGGAACTCAAACACCAGCTCTCCAATATTTCTTTTTCCCTCAAAAAACCTGGGGTATAGTCAATTCCTCCAACAAAGAGAGATCACACAGACTGCTGAAATGGCTTTACTTCCACCATTCATGGTCATCACTCCCCAAGGCCACCACTCCATTCCTACTGAGAAATAAAAATCACAGCAAACACTCTCATAGTGCTCATTTGGTTACATTACCTTCATAAAACAGATAGGATTATTATTATTCCCATTTTAGAGAGAAAGAAGCTGAGGACCAAAGAGCTTGAGTGACTTTGCAAAGGATGTAAGAAGCTGCTATATCATGGAGGTGGAATTTAAACTCAGGCAATTAGGTTCCATGGTCCATGCTCATAAGCACTGCCTTTTTCCCAAGGGCACATTTTATGGTTCAGGTGCACAGTCATAGCTAAAGATCAAGTTCTGCTGGTTATGTTCAGGACAAATTAGAGAGAGGCACAGACAGATAAGTTTCAAAGGGGAAAGGGAAGAAAATGTATGTGTAAATTTTATTGTCTTCTACATGCTCATTAAAGGCAAATGCGTCTCTTGCTTGACTATTTCAAAGTATAGGGCAGAAATAGAAACACAATGTGGTAAATTATGTTTATCAATAAATACCTGTTGAATTAATACATGCAAAAAACTTGTTCCTATACACCTTGGGACAGATTAATATTTGCTTTAGGATTTGAGGCAATAAAAATACTGCCTGATACATAATCTGGTGATGCTAAATCTGATCACCAGCCTAGGAATTGAATAGAACACCCATGAGAAATAGTAGAGTGTTTGAAGGAACTAAAGATAATTACCCAGAAGGAAAGAAAATATAGGAACTAGGAACACATTATGGATGTCTCTAAACATTTGCAGCCTGCCATGTGAACCATAGAGTGGACTTGCTTTGTCATGTTCTAGAGAGCAGACTAGGTCCATGATGGAGAAAATTTTGGAAATGAATTACAGAGCCCTGAATGACCAGAGATATGTGCTGAAAATTATATAACCCAAGAGAGCAATGACAAGATCTCTGTACTAGCTACAAACCCCAAAATGCTATTATTCTTCATAGAATTTGCACCCATGTTGAACACCAGTTTGAAAAACAAATGGTTGAATTACATAGAGCTAAGAACTCTATTTAGGCTGGAGATATGGAGCTGAACAAGATTTCACAAGAGCTCTAAAAAGAGAGGTAAAACAAGTTTACATTTTAGATGGCAGATGGATCAAAATATGCTAAGTACCCTAGAAGCAAAGAATTATAAGGCTTTTGATTTTGATCCGGAAGGAAATTTAGAAATAATGTATTCAATATCTCAAATTTTTTGAGAGATAAAACAGGCCCTGGGATGATATGGGGATATTCTCTAACCTCAGACTGCTAAAAAATAAGCTAAGAAGAAAAATCATTTTCTATCTTCATAGTTTACTCCCTTCTGCTATGACAGTAAGTATTTAGTGTGTTGTTTTATAGGCATGAAATAATTCTTCATGGTAATATCTCTTTCTTAGTCTTCTCTTTTATAACTATTTCATATTATAATTATCTTTAGGTAGGTTTTCTTAAAAATTTAAGCATGGAAGTTCCACATGTACATTTAGTTTTAGTCTTTGGATGGTTAAATAGGAAGATCCAGTGCTGGTTGAGTGTGGATATTATCATTGCATAATTTTTTGGACCAATTCTTATTTTTTCAATCACGCTGCCTTTATTGTCAGCTAGAATGCCTGTAAGATCCAATAATTTTCTCTTCCTCAGTGTCATCACCAAGCACCCAAATTGCTCAAGTCAAAAGCCTAAGTTTCTCCCCTTCTTCATTCATCAAAAGCAGCCTATTTTGGACTTCCTACTTCTACACAATAAAATATGTCTCTGCCTTTCCTTCTGCACTGTCCCTACCCTTGATTACCATAATCTTTTGCTTGGGTTTCTGTGATATCATCCTACCCAGTTCCTCAGCTTTCAGCCTTGCTGCTTTATAATTCATTCTTTACATATGGCAAGAGGGAAATTCTTGAAACATAGGTCAGATTGTCACTCTCCTGCATAAGACCCTTATGGCTCCCATTTCCCTCAGAACAAACTCAAAAGCATAGCTTACTGGATCTGTGTGATCTCACCCCTGCGTGCCTTTCCAAGATCATTTCTTTCTACTTTTCTCCCTCCTGATTAGATGTACCACATACACTCCTCTTTTGTTCTTAAATGCACTAAG